TCTCTGACCAGTCAGATTGCTTGCTCGATTCGGTCTTGCAATCGGATTGCTGCTTTCTTTCTACTTTTGGGCTATTGTTAATAGCCGCATCATTTACTATTTCTCGGAAGATGTTTCTTTCTTCAATAAATAGTTCTTCTAATTTTTTTAACTTTTCGTCAAAAATTGACTCAAATTTAGCTTTTTTTGAGCTTGGAATTTTAAAAAGGTTGAGAGCAGCATACTGAGGCAATTTGCTTTCAATTTTGTTGCTCAGAATTGTTTTTATTGTTAGTATTAAATCACTAACCTTGTCCTTTTTAGAGTTTCCAGAACTGTTTGGTTTTATTTTATCATCTTTTTCTAGATTTAACGCATCTAGATCGCTGGTAAGTATTTTTTTTGCTATTCTAATATCTTCACAATTGTAGAAATCCATTATTTCGTAAATGAATTCCGCATCGTCAATTTTGTCAGAATTATTAAATAAATAACACAATAACTCGTTAATGCAAACCGCTCGCGACATCGTACCGGAAACGGAAATGTATGTACGTATGTATGTATGTATGTATGTATGTATGTATGCATGTATGTATGTATGCATGTATGTATGTATGTACGTACGTATGTATGTATATATGTAATTTGTGTGTATGTGTGTTTTAAAACAGTTTTGTATACGGCGAAAATAGCAGGGGCCTGTCATAAATAAGTCTCCCAATAATGCACTCCGGACAGACAAGCAGAACCGCGAGATAAATCGAAAGATGAAGCAAACTATGAACAAAAAATTAGAAAAATAATAATAATGATTATAATAAAGATAATGATAATAATGATAATGATAATAATAATGATAATGATAATAATAATAATAATAATCTCATTTTATTATCATCAAACCTCAAAATACACAATCAACTATCCGTTTATTATTTGTTTTTCTACTTATTTTCATTGGTGATAAATTGCCTTTTTTTTCCACAATCAGCATCAACAAGCACAACATAAATATTCACAGAATGTTCCTATCACAGTATATCTTGTATAATTAATTAATTAATTACACACTTCGTTAAGTTATCTTAAAAATCGACTGGTCAATAATAATAATAATAATAATAATAATAATAATAATAATAATAATAATAATAATAATAAAGATAATATTGATAATAATAATAATAATAATGATAATAATAATGATAGTAAGTCCCATAGCAATACATAGGAGGACATGTCTGGTAAAAGAGTGTCTACCTTGGGAGAGAAACAACCACAACTACAAATTATCATTATTATTGTTATTATTATTACTGTTATAATTATTAATGTTATTACTATTGTTTATTATGCTTCTTCTTCTTTTTATAAACATTTATATTATGATTGTAGAATAAATATTGCAATGTTATTTTCATTACGTAGGCAAAAATTCTTTCCTCCCAAAAAAAACAATTAAATTTAATCAGACATAACATTTAAATCCTAAGTTTGACATCTTGACATGAATAACGTCATTAAAGGACAAACACACACACACACACACACACACACACACACACAAACACACAAACAAACACACAAAGTTACAAACTTACACACACACACACACAAACATACAGATACACACACACATATGTATACACAAACACACACATCGTATTACGCTAGATTAGATTAGAATTAATTACAATTTTCCTTAACTTGTAACTTTGTCCGCCTCAAAAAAAATTTTTCAAGAGTCATTTTTTATCTATGTAAATACTATTTTAATGCTGTATAAATGTATTATTTACAAAGAAAGTTAAATTGTTTACATAGAGTAGGATGAAGTTGATTACATAGACAATTATTTTGTTTGCTCAGGTGTGTGTTTTGTAAACAAAAGAATGCATGACGTTTACAAAGATATTTAAGTTGTTTGCATGGAAAGAAAAAACTCACAAATCAAAAATCATAGCAGGCAAAGAAACGCCAAAAATTAAGTTTTATAACTTTGCATACATTAGCATAAATTTGCATGAATTAACATAAATTAGCATTAGATTTTCGAGTTTTAATTTTATCGTTCCATCACGCCGAAACGAATGTATTTTTTCTATCGTTTAAAATTTTGAAAATCAGCTACAACAACAACGCATCAACAACAACAACATCATCAAAAACATTGACGACAACATCAACAACAACAAACATCAACAACAACGACAACAACAACAACATCAACAACAACATCAACAACATTAACAACAACATCAACAACAACAACAACGACAACAATTACATTAGGAAAGAATTAATTGCGGGCCCCTAATCTCATTTCTGCCAAATTCATGATTTATAAAATAACGCGCAACAGCAACAACAACATCAACAACAACAACAACATCAACAACAACATTAATATTAACAACAAAAACAAAAACGCAATCGCAAAATGTAACTTGTAAATTAAATTCGAGTCAATGTAACCGGAAAGAAATTTTGTGAGATAACAAAGATACTATATATTCAATAGGAAGAGGAACAAATAAATAAGAATTGATAGAAAAAAAACTAAAAAAATAAAATCATAACCCAAAACACAAAATCGTAAAACAAACTCGCGCGCAAAAAATTCAACAATATCGAAATTCAAATTGAAAAATTTGTCAGGCAAAATGACCACAAGATGTCTACAACAACAACAACTATTTCCGCGATAACAAAAACAACAAAAACAAGTATGATGTCATTAAAAAATCAAACAAAATAGACGCATCAAAAAAAGAATTGAAATAGCATCAACAACAAAAACAACAGCAGCAATAACAACAGTAATAGAAAACAAAACAAAAAGATAAATACAAAAACAAAGAATACTAAAAACATACACAAGCAAAGAACATAAAACAAAGAATAAAAAAAAATACAAAAAACAAAAAATACCAAACAAAAGGTATGCAATATACATTACACGGACCATGTGAGACCTTAAAAACACACCATGCAGTATCGTAAAAAGAGGACAAAAATGTATATGTTTGTATGTATGTTTGTATGTTTGTATGTATGTATGTTTGTTTTTACGTTTGTATGTATGTATGTTTGTATGTTTGTAGGTGTGTGTATTTTACTTGTACAACTGATGAAGCAAAGTAAAAATTTTATGATGGGAGTGACAACAACAACAACAACAACAACAACAACAACTGCAACCACAACAACAACAACAACAACAACAACAGCAAAAACAACAAAAACAACAGCAAAAACGACAACAACAACAGCAATAATAAATAAATAATTAAGAATAATAATAACAACGATTCTTAATCATCATAAAAACTTCATTTCATTTTTTTTTGCATTTCGACAAAACGGAGAAAAAAAATTTGTGTGGCAAAATGGCGAGCCGACCAAAAAAACTTTGCCTTCTCAGTGTCAGTAACAATTTTAATAACATTATTACCTTGGAAAAACAACAGATAGTGTTACTACCACCACTACTACTACTACTACTACTACTACTACTACTACTGCTGCTGCTGCTACTACTACTACTACTACTACTACTACTACTACTACTACTACTACTACTACTACTACTACTACTGTTATTACTACTAGCACTACTAATGCTACTACTACAAACAAACAAGCATACAAACAAACATACAGACAGACATACATACAAACACACAAACATACAGATAGACAGACCAACATACATACAGACATACAGATACAGATAGACAG